TCTTATCACGTTGACTCATTCTTTGTGACATTTCCATAATCTTCGTTCTCTTTTCCAAAATCACTCACTTCATTATGAAATTTAAATCAACCACATTTAAAACCAAGTTGAAGGTTCTAAAATTTATGCGTTCTTTGCTCGGTCAATTTAACATGAGTAATTTGCGCGCGTTATCTTAATCTGAGAAAACGTTTAGCAGAGAGAAGCGACATTAGTGACTCATGACATTTGTATGCTCTGTTTCCAGCATCAACATAAATTCAAATCTCTACCTCTTTTCATGCTGTATCACTGTCAGTGATACCACATGCACATCATTCCGGAATGAAGATCGCATCTCAGAGCTGCGTATTAAAAATTAACAGACTGACAGCCAAGCACGTGTTATCTCGTGGTTCACACTTTTTATTATGATGCCGACTACGTGATATCTCGTGTCGATTACGAATTATCTCGTGCTTGGTATTTTCTTAAAGATTTTCAGTTTATTCGCAGTGACGCTTTCAGTATGAAAAAAAAAAGCTTATGAATCAACCTATAAAAAAAGTTATCGCATAAGCTGGTTATTATAAAGTTAGTGAGGTTTCGTAAGTGATCGTATTTCTGGGGTTCAGAAATTTTCTTAAAATCATGTAAACCAAACAAATTATTCAACGGAAATACTCTACAAATTGACTACAACTGTCCAGAAAATCATAAAAAAAAGCAACAGGAAAACCTTCAGCATACGTCAAACATCACTGATTTTCCATCGCTAACTGCAGAACAAAAGCAGCGATGAACACGAAATGGTAACTACCTACAAAATAATGTAATAAATGAAGCTACAGTATACTTAAAAAAAAATCCTGGACAATATATGAGAATAACAAAAAGGCCCCGGTACACACAAAACATCATTCAACAACAGAAAATATGTTGATAATACCTCTCCATCAAAGCACATATGGTATACACCAAAACACACCAAATTAACTGATAAGAAAAAAGCACCAGCTTAACACGACCCATCAAAAGGATATAATCTTTTGATGAGAAAATAGCAATAAGTATTTTAAAAAAGTTAAAAGCCCAAACAAAGCTTCAAAACACATTTCTAAACGCAGAAATATATGCAAATTCATGACCAAATAGACTAAATTACAATCCTATACTCGCATCCTAATAGACTTTATTTTTGCATAACATTTCTGAATAAGTGTCTTATTGCCTCTTTCTCCATCTGATAATTGTGTCAATAGCATTTATCAACACTGCGAGTCCACATGAAACACGCATACTAACTTCAAGGGAGGTAACTAAGTTATGAAAATGTCTAAATATTTCTTAAAATAGAAAAAACTATTTAAAACTATTAGTTAAAACCTAGATATGATAAACTATCTACTGTAAACATTTTGAAAGATTTGCAATAACTTAGTTACCCACTTGACGTTTGCGCGCGTGTCTACGTCAGAAAATTTTTTAAAAAATTACAGATCTTAGTGTTTTTCTATTCACACTTGAAAAATTAATTTTCAAATGAACACAATTTCGTCTTAGAAAAATGATGAACATAAAATTTTTTTTGTCTTAGAAAAAACAAGACCATGATAACGACATTGTGCTAATATCAAAAGTACGCAGAATAAAAAGAATATGTATCAACATAGTAATTTGCTTTCTTTCTTTAATAAAGATACTAAGAAATTTGTCCGTAATTACGAGAGGATCCTATTAAAATAAGTACACAAAATTTGTCTAAATTATTTAATGAGACATGTTTATATATATATATATATATATATATATATATATATATATATATTATATATATATATATATTTCATCGATTGATATCTTTATAATAATAATAATAAGTGTAATGTAGGAAAATTAGTAGCTTATCTCTATACAAATGTAGAATTAGATGATGTGAAAATTGTTCGAATAATTATTTCAAATGCAAAATTCTTTATGACAACAGAAATGTAAAAATTAAAAGAGGAAATAGGCAAATAGTAATTATTCGAAATCCAAATATTGTTAATAAAACAATTTAGTAAGAATAATTTCTTATAACCTTAAGTTATATGATCGTGTACGTACATAGTCAACTAATGAAGAGTAATCGTTATAGAATGCTACTAAGGTTTTAAGTTTTTCATTTGCGTTACTTGGCATTCTTGATATTTTACAACCTGATCTTACTTTTGCAATATGAATATCTTGCAAATCCTGTTCTTTTTTAAGAGCGTCTAAGAATTTCTATATTATGGGATGATGAGATGATACTTGCTGCAAAAAGCTCTATGCCATTCTTCAAGGGCGTTATTAGTTAAAACTAAATCAGTATTGACTCTCTTAAATCAAGTATACGTATTTCAAACAGGTATTTCCAATAATTATCCTTTAGCATAATTGTCCTTTTGATTAATTTTCAGTCAAACAATTTATAATTCGAAAAGAGTTTTTCGAATAATTGTTTAAGAACAAATATTTCCGAACAATTTTGCGATACCCAGAATTATGTGAATAAGTTACTGAATTGGATAATCCAATCGCTTATCTCTATACAGATGTAGAATTATAATGTGGACTAGTTACTAATTTGGGCAAATTCGTCTATGTCTAGTTAGCTGCACAGCTATTTATAGCAGGTCGGTATCGTAGATTTTACAAGCTATTAATGTGACAAAACTCATGGTTCTTGTAGATTGCGATATACCAATTTTCCTATGTGCCATAAAACTTCTGTTCGTGGGTGATCATGGCTGTCCTTGTAGATATAAGTAATATCTGTCTCTTTACAATATTTGTCCTTTGTCTGTTATCTATTCACCCAGACTTATGCAGTTTACTCGTTATTTCGACCAGTCGCTCTTTCCTTCAATGTCTCGTGACTGTTAAAATCTCTAAGCTTCCTTTCTTCATAAAGTTTTCTCTAAATTTCAAATGTATCTTCGGATTTTAAATTTGGTTTCTTTTAATTTAATTATTTTGCAAGACTACCTTATTGTTCATGTATCCTTGACGCCCGTCTGTAGAACGGTACCCGCATTGCTTCAAGTGCATTCGTCATCTGTAAGGAATTGTCTAGCACTGACTGCCGTATGTCATATGGCCATTTCCTGGTCGTTACGCACAAAATATAATCGGCTATCCCGGACACTGCATGCTGGATGTAAACTTTAGCCAGTAATCACGGTACCTGTGAAGAAGCGTATATTGGGCGTGGCTACTTTCGTCATACGTCTCTTTCCCCGTTCATGTTTCGTTTAGTGGGATCTTTTACGTTGTGTACTCGCCGGGAAGAATTATTAGGCATTTTCTTTTTTTTTTTTATTTACCCCAGCTGGTCGCGCTTTTCCCGACCCTAAGCACTTCCTTAATCCGCTCGACTTTTCTGAAAGGGGAGAATTTATAACGGGAGGAACGAAATCCGTTGGTAACGCTACCAGTTATCTTTTAATGAGAGAATATGCTGCAGCAATCACAATTCTGCGGTTCGAATTCTTTTATTTCCTTGAATCATTGAGAGATATCTAAAAGCTGAAATGCAGGTGTATGCCAACTTAGGTGCCATAATTTCAACGAAAACCGATAGCAGAGTGACCACTGTAGCGGCCTGGCGCGAAATGGTTGAAGCGATGCGTGTTTGTGATTATAAAGGAGAAGGGGATTTTGATTAATCTGGTAAATATACGAAGACTTTCTTTGTTAAATAAACCAAATAGCCGGCTAAATTCCATGTGACCCTTCCAGCAGTTCTGTATTAGTAGGCTATCAAACAAACAATTCGCAATTCGTTATTACGGCATCCTTGGGCTTAGGCAGGAAATTTTAGTTATTCTGGATTTTATTGAATCTTAATTGTTTTATTTTAGTCTTAAATCTTCCGGATACCTTACTAATAAGTATTTTATAGGTTCAAAGTAATTTGATGTTAAACTGAACTTCTCTTTCTGAGGTTCCAACCTGATTAACCATTCTCCGATATTTTTCTCCATTTAATATTGCACAGGATTACAACGTCTCTCGAGTTACTAAGCAACTTTCATACCTATATGACTCAGCCTATTCTACAGCCCTATTACACGTACAAGTGGATGCTGATTTATTGATTTGTTTTTTACGTATTATCAACCCTTTGCAAATTATTTAATGTCAGAAAATATTTTTACACATATATATATATATATATATATATATATATATATATATATATATATATTATAAATTAATTGATTTAAAATATGGTTATTTTCGCTACACAGTTCCAACCATGTTTTCAAAAATAGAAGCTAAAAACCCTAATTTTATTTTTTTTGCAAATAAATTAAAAGCATTAGTTCCATTTCATCTTCAAGCGAATTTTTGGAGTAACTTTTAAAATTTACCGGGTTTTAAATACACAGCTAAAATCACGTTTCCATGGTTACAGAATATTCTACTCAAATTGAACACAGGGTGTCTAGATTTTCCTTATGACAGTATCATTGTATCAGTTATTAGCTACATTTTGGTAAGGGTGAGGATGTATTTTACACTGAAACCTGACGTCAGTTGAATGGATGTCGTCTGAATTTAAAAAAAAAAAAAAACACCGGATTTTATATCTTACTGTTCTTTCTTTTTATTTATATACATATATATATATATATATATATTTATGATTTTATATATATGATTTTAGTGACACAAGTCTTACTAATTAACTCATGGCGGGGAGAGTAGAGGTGGAAACATATTTTTCCCAATGTTTTTGCGCGTAAGTGAATATAGTGAAGACAACGGGAATTAGAGCTCGGCTCTCCGATTAACAATTCTAAGCCATTATCTATTACACCACCCGCACATCCAAGCTTACAGCTCCTGGTATCATTAAGCTGTCACCCATCTAGTTACTGACGTTATTTAATTTTGGTGATCGTACGGGAACCGGTGTTTCCACGTGATATGGCCGTAAGCCATATAAAGGGATAGATATGACATAGTTTTTCATAATTTCGTTGTTTCTAATGTCATATGTTTATTTGTCTAGAAAATCTGTAACCATTACTCTTACAGGACTCAGTGATCGACCAAAAAGCGATACTCTCTCAGCCACTAAGCAAACGTGTCTGCCTGTTTCCATTAATGTCTTTATTTCTTTTCTTTTTTCCCTTCAGCTGCCTTTCATTTTTCCTCTTTTTTTTTGGTTTATTCTTTCTTTCTTGCGTTTTCTGTTTCATTTATCTCCCACGTTTCGTGTGACGATATCGAGTCGATCCGTCTCTTACAAGCGCGAATATATTGTTCTAAGCCCTTATGAAACCTCATTGCAAATGCTACTTCCTCAATCACCAACTACATTCTCTTGGTACACCCAGCATCCACTGCGCCCTTCTTCGATCGGCTACTCGACACATCACATGACCATTACCGCTCTCACAAATCCGGAGTTTCTTAACAATATTATCATTAGTTTCCGCCCTGTCTTCTGGCACATACCAAATATTTATTCGTACTTTATTTTATATTTTTATTTCTTCCTCGGTTTCTCTCTTAGTATAAATTTTCTTTTCTTTTTTCTCTGTTTTCATTTATATCTCTTTCGCAGTGTGTGCTTCTGCTTTCCATTTTTGTTACGAGCCTCGTTTTCAATTTACTGTTGGGAGTTGTTTTTTTTTCTTCTGTTTCTTGTTTTCTGATCGTGTAAATTTAATTATGACAACCTTGTGTTCTCTTTCTTATTCTCGTTATTCTATTGTGGACATGTGTGTCGATACTCATTTCAAAATGTCTATGTACGCATTTTAAAGCGTGTTTTACATTATTTTCCTCCCAGCATCAGTTTCAAATCAAGTCATTTTATGCTTTCTGATATTTCTCTCTGCTTTTTCTTGGCAGATGTAAATGATTTTACAAGTATTTCTTTTTTCTTTTCTTTTACGGTTTTCTTGCCTTTCTTTTTTTTTTTTTTTACGTATATGATCTTTCGTATATTTTCTGTCGACAATTCCATTTTTCATTTATTTATTTAAAAAGTAATCTTTTCCTTATATTTTTCGGTTGTTCCGCCATATCTTCTGTTTATGTTTCCTGGCTGTTTTCTTTGTTTTCCTTGTTTTTTTAAGTTTTTTTTTTTACTGTTCTGTTTTATTTAATTTTTCCTGTACTTTTCTTTTAGTCCAGATTTTTTTTCCCTTTGCATTCCATATTTCGATGTTCTTCCTTATTAAACTTCTTTCTGATATATTTCTATTGTCTTTCTACTATTTTTGAATTCCGTTTTTCTTTCTTTTGTAACATAACACATTCACGTTCCTTTCTTAATTTTTCTGCAATTTTTTATTCGCATTTGAGTTCCGACTTCATTCTTTCTTTACAAACTCTATTCATTATTCGTCTACACTCATCCACACTTTCCAACCGTACTATTCAACTTCTTACCATGTAAAACATATACCAAGTTAGAATATAGCGCTATATACATAGGGACCCGCGTAAAGTCATACAGGTAGAAAAAATAATTGATAAATGCTATAAGCCATTCAAAGGAATAAAGCATGAAATACACACACACACACACACACACACACACACACACACATATATATATATATATATATAGATCAGAGATAATAGACTAGTATTTCAAGGAACAAGATATATATATATATATATATATATATATATGTATGTAAAAATTTTCAGAGAGAGATAATCTGTAAAGGAACAAGATTAATAAAAAGACAAGCGGAAAAACTTAAAAACCTTTGTAAACCAACGAGTTGCTCGCTCTTGTATAAAAACTCATGCCTCCAAAAATCCTACATTTGCCTTCCTAAAGACCTTCAGAGGACGAAATGCGGCTGCTAAGAATAGGTTTTTTCCTCTTGTTTTTTATTCATATATATATATATATTTATATATATATATATATATATATATATATATATATATATATATATGTGTGTGTGTGTGTGTGTGTATATAACAAAGATCATGTAGCAATAATAGTGTAAGGCCAGTTAGTGTAAGTCTGAAAGAAAAGAACATTTAAGAAGCAATGTTTCCAATAAATTGCACGATATCAGATGGAGCAATAATACGATGAATTCTTACACACACACACACACACACACACACATATATATATATATATATATATATATATATATACATACATATATATGGGAGTGTAAAAATATATTTTTAAGATATGCTATATTTCTGGTTAAAAGAGCTGAAACGCAATAGTCTGGCTTAAAGATTGTGTCTGCTTGTTGAGATGTTGACCTCACTTCCTACATATGTGTGTGTGTGTGTGTGTGTGTGTGTGCGCGTGCGTGTGTGTGTGTGTATTTATAAATAAAGGCAAAAAAATAACTTATCTTAACCGATGTGTTTCGTCCTCTCATGGACTTTATAAAAGCATTTGCTTTATAAAAGCATTTGCTTTCATGTCCATCAGAGGCCAAAACGCGTCGGCTAATATAAGTTTTCCGTTTATATTGTACTTCTTCGGCGGATGTTGTAGTTATTTACCATTGCCTTAAAAAGTACAATCACAGCATTCAAACGTCAAACGTTTTGTGTAGCGATTTCAACATCTTATTATAATCTTTTATAATAAAATAATAATCTCTATCTATAAAAGGCAGGATGTATGTGTGTGTGTGTGTGTGTGTGTGTGTGTGTGTGTGTGTGTGTGTGTGTGTGTGTAACGAATGCACGGCCGCAGTTTTCGACGGATTTGCACTAAAATTTACATGCACATGCTCCAACCATATAACGGGAAGGCCAAGACCGATTTTGCATTTCCCAACTTCCATCGATAGTGGAAATAATCGAGTTTTTCAAGCTTCTACGGCGGTTTTCATGTAGTTTGCGGCCATTTTGTACTGGCCAGAGTGAGAGCCTATAGCTGGCTGCCACAAATAGGCAGGAGGATTCTATTGGCCAGCGTGAGAGCCAACAGCTGACTGACACAAATGTTAACTAGCATGCTAGCCTGCAAAAAAAAAACCAAAAAAAACGATAGCTGCATTCGTCACAAGTGGGAAAAATTTAAATCTCCATGGCACTTTACTCGAATTGGCTTATTCGCTTGCTTAAACTCAACGTTGATTCTGATTCCGCAGAACTGGGTTGGGTGTGAAAAAGTATTTGTTGTTAATATTCTTTTTTCATTCGGTTTTTCCAGTTACGAGTCCTTTTTTTAAAGCTGATCGTTTTGTGTTCATTTTGTTTAATTCATTTTTCGTAACAGATTTAATGTTTAGTATAGAGCTTAGAAAAAATTCGCAGTGTGAGATAAGCAAGAAGTAAGGCATGTAGCAACATCAGCACGGAAAAAAAGGCACTCCTTTAAAAGGCAAAGAAAGGCAAAATATTTTAATTCAAGTGATAGCGATTGCTGTATGAGTCGTACGATTTTTGAATCAAGCACGGGCAACGCCGGGTCATGCTGCTATATATATATATATATATATATATATATGTCTTTGCGGAAGTTCATAGTCTTAGTTTCTTCTTATCAACTTTGTCGTCGTATAGTTTGTACTGATTGTGTTGGTGCAGCAATATTTAATTAAAAATGTTGATTAAAACTAACGAAATTTCATTGTTAAGGGTTATTTAATTTTATTTTTCCATAATTCAGACCACTTATCTGATTATCCGTGAAAGGTTAAACATAAATTGTACAATGTTTGTGTGCCTTTGTTTTCCATAAGCCATAATAAAAGAAATATTTATTTTTTGCTATGTTGCGTCTTCGTAAATGATGTCGCTTTTTTAAGTAACACACCCACACACACACACACAAAGAAAATACAGCAAATCAAAAAGAACGACACGGTAATACAAACTGATAACTGAAACGTATTATTGAAAAAAAATAAAAACAAAACAAAAAACGATAAGACGCATAAAAGTTGCGTAATATGTTCAGATATGTTATGCTTTCAGATTCCTAGACAGGAGGATTTCTTTAGCCATAAAGAAAAGAATATGGAGCTTTTACGTGACATCTGCCCTTCTTTACGGCAGCGAATGTTGGAAAGATGAAGATGAGGCTCGAGGCGACAGAGATGTGGTTCTACAAAAGGATGCTAAAGATATCATGGACCGAGCGTGTGAGCAACGATGAGGTCCTGTAAGCCTCCTCCTTGTTTGCAAGGAGGAGGCTTATACTTAATATCAGGAAGATACAGCTGAAGTTTCTGGGACACATAAGGAGAGAGGAGGGACTGGAGAATCTGATACTCACAGTTCGAATATAGGTAAAAAGAGATAAGGGAAAACAACGCGTCACATACCTGGCGGACTTAAGCAAGTGGATGACAGAACGTAGTCTGGGGAAGAAGTACAGGGAAGGAAATTGTTGAGAGCTGCAAGGGATAGAGGGAGGTGGAGAGCCATGATCACCTACGTCCTGAAAGGATATGGTACATAAAAAGAAAGAAGACTTTGAGTGCCGAGAGATCTGCACGAAACTTTCAACAACCTGCCATGTGGGTGGCGTTTCTATATTGATAATGCGTGGGTTCAGGTGGAGTTTTCCCGGACTCCTTGTATCCTTAAAGAGGTTACAAACAGAAAAAGATGGTACTCAAGTGAAGGCCAGTCCACATAAGCGATAGGGAGTGTGGGATATTCCATTACAACACTTCTAATGAATCTCCTAATAAAAATGCCGATGGTTTGCCTAGATCTTTTTGCAACACATTTGCCCCACTTTACGGTTGTCATATTTACCAGTAGTGATGGTTGGTTCTGTCGAGATAACACAACCTCACATCTCACTGCTAATGTCCAATTACTATAGTAGCTCGCTTGCCCGCCAGATTTAAACCCCATTGAGCATGTATAAAGATATTTCAAATGCCAGTAAAATCCTTGCAGTCTCAACAGACAAGCATAATTCTGTCGTGAAATGTGCTTGCATAGATATACCCACGTAAAGATTCTAACCCCTTGCGTATGCCACGTTGAATAACCACATTTGAATGAAAGGAAGACCTACGCTTTATTAGCAGTTTCTTATTTTTTTCTCACTTCTCATATTGATAGGCAGATATTGATTTTCTAAGCCTAGCTTATATGTGCCACATAGCCGAAAGTTTGGGGTACCCAGTGAGGACCGAACTCACTATTCAGGCGTACCTGTTTGAGCGCGACAAGCCTGCTAACCATTACACCACGACGAGGTACCCACTTTGTGATTTCATAAGCGTAGCTTAGATGTGGCACAAGGCCGAAAGAATGGGGAAGCCAGCGAGTATAGAACTAACTATTCAGGCGTACCTTTTTTAGCGCGAAAAGCTTGCTAGCAATTACACATTCCGAGGTACCCTCTTTGTGATTTCATAAGCGTAGCTTAGATGTGGTACAAGGCCGAAAGTATGGAGCACCCAGTGAGAATAGAACTCACTATTAAGGCGTACCTGTTTTAGCGCGAAAAGCTTGCTAGACATTACACCACGCCAAGGTACCCCCTTTGTGATTTCATACGCCTAGCTTAGACGAAGCACAAGGTCGAAAATGTGGAGGACGCAGTATAGAATTCATTATTCAGTCATAATTGATATAGCCAGACAAGCTTGTTAACCATTACACGACGTCGCGGTGGCCATATTGATAGGAAGGCAAACTATCAAAGTAAAGCTCCTTCAGCTCACTGAACATAGTTTTCATAGCGTGATTTTATTCAAGAGAGAATATTGGAGGCCAGTTGCTTAAATATGAATAAAAGTGTCTTTTTTTTTCTATATCGCGGTATGCGTAGATCACTGGGTTTCAAACACACATCGCTATTTAGTGTTTTCTGCATGAATCAATTTGTAGGGAAATAAATTAACTTTCATAGTATCCAACATGATCAGATCAAAAATTTCTTTAATAAAAAATTAAAATGTCCTGTGCTGATGCCGTGCCTAAGGCCAATTCGCTTGCTTTTTATACTCACTCTTTCGCTGCTAGTTAATGGTTTTATGTTCGTTTTTAGTTTCTTTCTTTGAGTATGGATTAACTATGACAAATTTAGTATTGGATATAATAACATAGTGAGAAGTTTAATACAAAACAGCAAGATGTTACAAAACCAAAATATAATCTTAAGAACTCGAATCGTTTTCTTAAACAGCTAGTCTCATATATGTTTGTTATGCACGGTGGAGGAGTAATGGATAGTGGCTCGGATTGAGGAATCGGAGAGCTGAGTTCGAATTCCAGTTGAATCCATTACATTCACTTACGTGCTAATACTCTGAATCCTCTTCTTCACCATACCAGCTATGGGTAAATAGCAGGACAGACCGTGTTCTATAGCCTAATTTCTATAGCCTTGGATGACAACTGGTCTACCGCAGAACGAAATGGCAACCTACTGCGGGAAAAATATCTGCCTCATCAATCATCGAAAGATACATGATCACCAAAGCGTGTACCACGCATGACACATGACTGACTGAATCAGGGTATCCATCTCGTTCAGGGATGTCTAAACAATCAGCTTTATAAAACACTGTTCTCAGATCACTGATTAAAAATTGCTTCAAACGAATGACTATTTCGTCAGATCTTATAGAAAGGCGATACGCAATCACAATAATCAAACAAACATTAGCATCTTTGAAGACTTCCGACAACAGTCACGAAAAAAGGATAGCACATCAAACGAGACGGGAAGATAATTGTATGTCTAAGATGTTAATTCTCCATACAACCTTAAACTGATTGATTCAATTTTTACGGTTTATCTACCTTTTTCAGATTATCTAAAGCCAGAAAATATCTAATATGTAAGCATTTTTTTTTTTTTTTTAGATAATAATAGTTTAGTAATATAGCTCTTACTAAATAAACCATAGCTGGTGGAAAAGAAAGGCATACATATCTTTCTCAAGGGTATTCGCGCGTAAGTGAATATAACGAACATAACGGGTATTGGAACACGGCGCTCCGATTAACAACTATGAACCATTATCGATTACACCACCCACACATCCACTCTGACAGCTATTCCCAATCGTTCACCAATCTAGGTACTGATCTAGATTTACTTTGCTTAGCTTTAACGTGATGTGGTCGTAAACCAACCTTAGACTTTCATCAATACTAGAAATGTCGATAACGGTAAAATAACAATTCATTTAGAATTTTAGAGCCAAAGAGAAATATATTTAAAGGAAAAAAACAAAAAAACAAACGATATAAAAATATCATATCACAGTTTTTCATTAGGAAAAATGATCTTCAATGAATTTTTAATGGATATTTCTATTAGTATTTACTCATTTAAGACAATCTGTTTTATAAATTCATTGAAATAACATTAAAGAAAATCATCAAACGATTTTGGCACAGCATTTTCAGACCTCCACCCCCCAAAAAAACAATTTTCTCTTTTAAAAAATAAAAGAAGCAAGATATATGCGGAACTTAATAAAAAGTGATATCGATTCTCAAAATGCGGAGCTAAAACGTGGATTTACTAACCATTCCGCTAAAATATGGGACTCATCAGCATTTTAATGTGTCCCGCATTAATTGATGTAGGACCCATCCATCGGTATTAAAATGCTGAAGAGTCCCTTATTTTAGCGGGATGGTTGGTAACCCTACAGAAAATTCATTTTCACCGTAGATTTTATTAACGTAATTTTTTTTTAATCCCTTATTAAAAGACAAATTTTCACTTAAAGGAATCACTTTTCCTTTGAAACATCAGTTTTGGCAACATTACTACAATGATGCTTTGGGAACATTATAAAGTAAACTGTTTCTGGAGTTCACTGCGGGTAACGAAAAAAAAAACACAAAGGAAAACCGCGGATAATGGGTAACAATTTTCGCTCTCTTTTCTTCTCTATCAGCGGTCTCTTTTTCCCTCCTTTTTCTTCCATGTACACGCCTACACATCTCATTCTTTTCTTCGCTATCCTTCATTTTTCTTATCGTTCACTCTCTTTTCTCATCTATTCTTTCTTTATTCACATTCCCTTTTCTCTCTCTTTTATTCTCTAACCGATTTAACATCTCTCTTCTTTTCTATCCATCTTCTCTCTTCTCTCTTTTTTCTACCCTCGTTCTCTTTTCTCTATATTCTCTTTCACTTAACTCTATCTCTCTTTTTCTTTCTCTCTCTCCACTATATTCATATTTCTCTTTTTCTTCGTCTCTAACCTTCTTCTCCTTACCTTTTCATATTCGGCTAACAAAAAAAAAAAAAAAAAAAAACATTTTGCCTCGTCTTTCCTCATTTTTTCATCTATATTTTTGTTTTCTCTTGACACTTTCTTAAATACCATGCGACCGAACAGTACCCCCAATGTGCCTTTGGCGCCAGAATTGTAACTGGACCGTTTCTTGAGATCTGGAACCTGCTGGCCTTACCTTGCACTGGCCGACCTTTCATTTCTTTTTTCTTATAGCCACATTTTCATTCACTCTTCTCCAGAAAGAAAAACCCAAAAGATGAAAAGAATCTTTGGTTTACAAATCACCAAGGAAAGAAAAACATTCGATGGTAGTTTTAGTAAAGTAAAGCGTCCCTTTACAATGTATTTAACTTAGGAAAACACCCTCTAAATATTTTAGAAAACAGCCAGTAATGAAATAAAACGACAGACGGTTAGCTATTAACGAACTGAGTATTGCAACATCAAACGAAGTTTTATGGCAATCATTTCTCAAACTTTTATTCCTTGTGGCCTATTTTTGGCATCAAAAAAGATTCGGGCCCATATAAGCGTAAATAGCCTTTCCACGTAACACGGAATAAATGTTATATACAAAAGTAAAAATGTAGTAAAAATATAAAACGTGACTAATGAATACACTGGTCCTAGTATTTATCTATCAGTTTATCAATTTGGTCATCCAAGCCTTGGTTAAGCTTCAGGCGTAAATCTCCCCTGTTTTCAATATACACCACAACGTCTATTTCTAAAATTTCTCATACCTACTTGAATCGCCTAAGGGTCCAATTTGGGAATCACTGCTCTAAAAGACTGGAATCTGAGTCGGATATTGATGTTAACGTTCTTACTGCTACCTACTGCATATTGTTAGGGAAATATTATAATTATCCTCTGACAATTACATTAGTGCCATGTATTACACATTGCAGGGGAAATATCTCAATAATCATTTGACAATTATCTTAGTGACATCTATTATACATTGTTAGGGAATTATCTGAATTTTCATTTGAAAATTATCTTAGCGCCATATCGTTAGGGAACTCTCTCAATTATCATTTATCTTAGTGACATCTGCTACACATTGTTAGGAAAATAGAGGGATCCCTTGATTGATGTGCATTCGATTAATTCATTTTCGATTAGTGGGCTAAAATCTTTATATACTGTTGTGGTAGGATCCACCTAATTTGCATAGTGGAGTACCGACCATATAAATATGGTTGGTACTGGGATGAGAGGGAGGAATCAAGATATTCAACCAGAGACTCTGCCCGACTGCGACTCAGTCAACACATTCTCCAGGAACGGTCTTACCAGGAATATACAAAAGACTATATGTAAATATTGTGTATACTTTCTTGTTTCAATACATTTTGTTCTAACTTGCATTATTATTCCATGCATTAGTCAAGTTTCAACATATACTAAATCTGGATTAGTTCTTACATAATACTTAATTAGTGTCGTAAAACATTCTTCAGTTTAACCATAGTAAATAAACAATATTTTTAATTAATCGGTAACAATAAAAAACAATTTTGAATAACTGATATTTTTTATAGTTACCGATTAATTAAAATATTTTTTAAATTTAAAAATTAAAAATATTTAACTGTTTTGTGTGTCAATAATTAATCTAAGTAATTACAGTTGTCTTCAAAAAACGAACATTTTATTTTATAAAATAAGCTGAAAATAAACATACATATTTGATAATTTGACTGTATTAAAATCTTTTGAATATTTTGATTTTTTTTCATGTTTATTTTGAAGATTTTTAAAAGGAAAATTCTGACATTTTGTTAAAAAGTGGACGATTTAATTAGATACATAAATTTACATTTATTAAAAAATATCGAAATATAAAAGATGTATGCATTTACTTTGAAAATATTATAAATAAAATTTTCAGGTTAAAATATTAATGATTATGATACGTTTAGAAAATTTGAAGGTACTGTTTCTTATATGTTCACCTTATATGAAGAACAGAAGAATACAATGCGGCACACCAATCTAAGTAATTTTTTTCGTAAACAATCAGATTAATAAATATTAATTCATAACATCTTATTCTATCTTTTTATATGTGCCGATATTTTAATTAGAAAGTATGCAAATTAGAAATTACTTGTGAATGAAATTGGAATTTAAGGCACAAATTAAATCATTTCCTATGAGTTGCTATGTTCAATTAACGCGCCTTCGATTAACGCGAATATTTTTTTGTACATATTGACCACATTAATCCTGTATTACAATTACCTTTTTGACAATTATCTTAATGTCATCTACTCTAAATTGTTAGAGATATTATTAAAAGTATCTTTTAACAATTATTTTAGTGTCATCTACACTACATTATTAGGGAAATATTACAATTATCTTTTGACAGTTATTTTAGTGCCATCTACTCCACGATGTTAGGGAAATATTAAAATTATCTTTATATTCCAACGAAACGTTTGTAGAAAATAGATCTTTTACTGAACATTGTGCCTATATGTAAAATGCACCTTCGATGCTGTTTGCTCTTCATATTAAAATAGAGTTCCTTTTTTTGTGAAGATTATAACAGAAGTTAGATAATTGACAATCTAAATTTACATAACGATGCCAATGTTGCAGCCATAGTCATGACTACCGGTTAACGAACACAAGGTCCTGGAGGTAGACAACGACTTGAATGAAACAGTTGGCTAAATGTATAAACCTAATTAAAAATGTGATGCAATCTCACCATAATATTTTGACACGTACATCTCAGACTTCTATAATTTTACAGTTGTTCTCACTTTACAGTCAGTTGCTATTAGGTTGAATATCATTGAAGGCGGATAATAGGTATTACAGTAACAATAATAGCTGGCCAATCGTATTCGAGGATACCCGACTACTAGAGCGGCTAACCACTCCCTATCGTTCGCTCAGACTCATTTGTGTTTGCTCAACACCCACAGAGCCAATCTGTGGTTTATACTGCAACTATACTGAGCAGAACATAGTTACAGTTTCTGGGATCACGAATTTGAACAAAGCTAGCACGCTCAAGCCCTCAGTCACGATGACTTGTGACTTCATGCAAGCACAGCTATCGACCCACCCTAAGAGTTCCGTCTACCCAATATCACTCCCAAGGCTTGTTTAAACCCGGGGTATGATTTTCAGGTGCCGCACTCTGGGATCGACTTCGATCCAGTCCGATAATGACAGGAAATCTCCTTCCTGACAAATCAACCATGGTGAGAATCGAACACGGGTCTCATGGGTCAGAAAGCGAATGTTCTAACCATTCGCCCAAAACATGTTATCATATTTAAATCATTAACTGTGTGTGTATTATCGCCACCTAATTTCCAAGAAGTCATTAGGTGGCGCTGTTAAGCATCTATAAAAACAGGACACTTCCTGATTCACTCTTCTTATCTCATTTTTTTTTTTACCTCCGAGCATGCTTTAGTGACAACCCCACCGGGACCTTGTTCCCGGGCATGTGGATATCTTTCCCCTTAATGACTGAAGGTTCACACACACACACACACACACACACACACACACACACACACACACACACACACAGAGACTTCCTAACATTCAATATCTTCTTTCTTTAGTATGCATACTAGAGTACTTTCTTTTTACTCAGTCATATAAAAACGGTGTGCGGATGGTGTAATGGATAACAACTCGGAATGAGAAATCCGAGAGCCGAGTTCGAATTCCACTCCGGCTCGTTTGCATTCACTTAACGCGCAAATACCATTGGGAAAGTTATGAATCCATCCCTTCCTCTCACTCTGTTATGGGTTGAAAACGAGGAGCGACTTTATCCTATATACTTGGTAGACAATTAGTCTACCGCAAAAAGAAATGGCAACCTACGACGGTCATGAATCGAAGGAGACATGTCAGCTTATGACACTTTTTAAATTTACAGTGAGGTACACCCTGTACAAGGCCCGGGTGCCACTCGATGTAAAGGATTACAGAAATACGAGGCATAATTTTTGCGGATAGGTGGGGAATACAAAGGTTAACCTTAGACTTAAAATGTTAAGATTTTAGTGATCGGAAGAACATGCTCCTGGGATTCAGTTCCATAGAACACTAATTTACGGGTAGAAGCTGCTTAAGTAGTAGTTACTTTTCCCACATGGAGTGAATGAGGGTGGTAGGCTTCAAGATGCATAGTATGGCGGGTCCTAGCCGTGAAGGTTGGAACTGGTGTAACTAAGGACTGACTGATAAAAGATCAACAGTATAAAATATTCAGTGTTTTCCTTTCACACTGCATTTACATGTGCAAACTATTCTTGAGCTGTTATCATCAAATATTCTTTGAATTAATTCTTCGCCACCGTATTTATCAGCGGCTTATGTGCGGTTAACAATTCCAGTTAATCAACTGCTTCACTCAATTTGTTGTCTTCTTTCAGGACTGTAGTCAAGCCCACTCACGTGTCAGGAAAGGTTTGCGAAGTATAAAAAAAAAGGAGATTTTTAGCTCAGTAATAAAGAAACCTTTGGGATCTGCAAACCGATTAACTAGATGAAACAGGAAAATTCGTTAGAAACAAAGAAATGAGTGTTGGATTGCTCTGTGATGGTTGAGAATGGTGAACAATCGCCCCCATCTTATGATGAAGGAGAAAAATGAAAGCAACATATACATGGTTGTAAAGAAGGATACTAAGAATTTCATGAATGGACCGAGTAAGTAACTAGGAAGTCTTAAAGAAAGAAACAACAAAAAGAAAACTTATGCCCCAAATCAGAAAGAAACATCGGAAATTCCTTGGACACAATCAGAAAAGAGGGTTTGGAAAACTTAAATATCGCACATAATATTGAGAGCAAGAAAGATAGCGAAGGCAGCAAGCCACCTACCTTGCACGCTGGATGGCGAAACAGTGACCGGGTCCTTAGAAAAAAAGGAGAAAAAACCAGCCGACGTCCACAAGGGATAGGAAGTTTTGGAGAATTATGATAGCACATAGAAAAAAGCAGCTAATCAGTCAATTATTTCCCCACTGGATTTTTAGGGTTACGTCAGAGGATAGATCGGCTTAATATTC